TTCCTCTATATCTCTTTGACTCTGCTTCATGTGATCTGTTTCTTTCCTGTATTGCTCATTCAAGGAATCCATCATTTTTCTAATCTCCTCTATTTTTTTTATCAATGTCTTCTTTAGAAGCAGTTATAAATTCTTTTACTGCAGTGCTTTTTTCTGATTGGGTTTCCTCCCTGTTTCTGTAGTTGATTCTTTACTTCAGATGCTATGAGTTCTGAGAATTCTTTTTTTATTTCAGAAAAGAATTCTGCTCTGAGTTCCTCTATATCTTTCTGCTGTTGCTTATTTACTATCAATGCTATTAATTCATACATTTCAGCTGAGCTGGTAGAATAGAATTCTGCTCTGAGTTCCTCTATGAATTTCTGCTGTTGCTTATTTATTACAGATGCTATTAATTCATACATTTCAGCTGAACTAGCATCCTCTGCATTTGTTCTGGGTAGGCACTGGTTTTCCTCCATATGTTTTTGCAGATGCTATTAATTCAGGGATTTCTTTTTTCATTTCTAATCGGAGTTCCTCTATACCTTTCTGCAGTTGTTTCTTTATTTCAGAAGCTGTTGATTCATTGATTTCAGGTGTGTGATTCCTAATTTGCTCTGTGCTAGTGTTGTCTGCACTTATTATGGGTGGGCTTGGGGTCTGAGATTGCATTTTGCTCCTTCTCATTGTCATTTTTTGTAGCACTGTCTTCTGACCTTTGTTGTAGAGTTTTGGTGCAATTATTACCTTAGCACTTACTGAAATTCAGGTGCAGATCTACGAAGTTTGGATTTATTCTGCTGTGCCTGGCTTGGGTCTGGCTGCTGTGCTCAGCTCCTTCCTGCTGTCACCCTTGGGAGTGATCCTGTTGTGCCCCTCTGGCGAGATGTTCTGCTCTTAGACTAGCTGGGTGGCTTTGTCTCCTACACTGTCTGCAGGGTTTCACCCCAAGCCTGTATTCCAGGCCTGAGCTGAGTCTGTAGTGGACAATGTGGAGTAGGGGGTAGAGGAAGTTCTCCCACACACTCAATGGGCCTGGGCTAGCGCTGGATCTGGGGGTCCCCAGAATGCAGCAGAAGTTCTTACTGCGCGGACGGGGAGAGGAGTACTGCAGAGTGGTGTCGGGAGCCTAAGGTGGTGGAAGGGGGTCTCACCCATGCTGCGCCTTGGCTTGGACCTGCAGGTCCCGCCAACGCAGGGTAGCAAGATGCTCTCCCACACACTCACTGGGCCTGGGCCAAGACTGGATCTAGGGGTCCCCAGAATGTGGCAGAAATTCTCAGTCAGTGGGCAGGGTAGGGGGGTGCTGCAGAGTGGTGGTGGGGCCCCAAGGGAGTGAAAGAGGGTGTTACCCATGCTGTTCCAGGAACTGGCAGGTCCCGCTGCACAGGGTAGCAGGAAGCTCTCCCACACACTCACCAGGCAATGTTTTTCCTTATTAGTAGTTTAGCGAAGGGGAGAAAAAAAAAGTGCCCTCCCGACATTTCTCTCTGTTCAGAATGAGTGCTCAGAGAGTCTATCAGTCTTAAATTCTTCCCTACTTTTACCTAGTTCTGCCATGAAAATTAAAGCTTAAAGTTTTAGAATACTCATTACTTTCCTCATGAACACAGATACTCAAAATGCATGTGGCTTTGTGAGAGACTGTTACTCTACAAAGAAGTTCCTTTCAGGTTCCAGCCCTTGGGGACTCAGAACCATCCACCGCATGCGAGAGAGACCCGCGGGAAACAGAAGCTTTAACTTTCTGTGTGATTTGAAAGCTGTGGCTGTTTGCATCAGGCTCATAAGGAGGAAGTGTGCAAATTGTTCTCTTACACACACGTGGTGGTGTGCGTGTCTGATTGTCCGTAAGCATTCCTTTATTCATTTATTCTCTGAAGGGGTCCCCAGTGGAAGTCACCACCACTAATGATCACGGGAAGCAGTACAGCGACGGCCAGTGGCATGAGATAATTGCTGTGAGGCATCAGGCCTTTGGCCGCATCACGGTGGATGGGCAGTACACGGGTAAGCAGTACTTTGGTCCAGACACAGCTCTACAGCTAAGCTGATGTTGTCATATCATTGGGCACTTAGGCCTCTGTACCTCTCCCTGTCACCAAGGTCTCTGCTCGATGTCACCTAAATTGTTGTTGAACTTAAGCTGCTCCTGAAGGATGCTGTCTGGCACCCAGGTTCCCACCCATGCAGGCGTCCATAAAGCAAAATAAGGACAAAGTCACTGGTGTCACTCACAGGCTTTCGGTCACATTTCTCACATTGCTTTTGACCTGAAGAAAGCAAATAAAGTAGAGGAAAGCAGCAGCCTGCATGTAGTAACCAGGAGATCAAGCCTTAGGAAGGTGACAGTGTTCTCCAATGTACACATGTAACAGGCAGCATTTCACATGCATGCATCCTGTTTTATATATTAGCTTCTTTCCAGCCCGCTGTATCTACCATTCACATAGTATGACAAAGGTCACTGAACCTGTATGATAATGAGAGCTTTTTATTAATTCACATGGGTGAGGTATACTTGTATGAGCATCTACTACATCCCGGGTATCATTCTAGGCTCTTGAGCTACAAAAACTAGGCAGAACTCTGTTGTCCCAGTCACTTTACCCTTCTTTCACAGAGATTCAATATCCAACACCTACGACTTAGAGAAGGCGAGGTTCATTTTGACTCGTGGTTCATAGAGGTTTCAGTCTAGTCATAGCTGGCAGCATGGTGGAAGGGCTGGCTGTAGAGAAAATCTGCTCCTGTCCTGACCTGGAAGCAGTGAGAAAGTCAGGGAGGCTTGAGGAGGGAGCTGAACTCTCACAGGCCACGCCCCTTGGCCTTCCTCCTCCAGCCAGTCCCAAACTCTTAAATCAGCCAATGACCTAAAGACCCATGATCACCTGCCCCTGCCCCCGTGCGAGGTTCTTGGGGTGCTCCTAGAGAGAAGCCATCACCTTTAGGGTTGACATCTTGGAGGGGTGTGGGAGGCAGAAAAAGCACAAATAAAGATGGCCCAAGGACGGGTGGGCGGTGAGTCCTGGGGATGGACAGCAGAGCAAGAGGAAGCATGGGTGTCACTTGCTTGCTCCAGGACTGCAGGGAAGTCCTCTCCATCTGAGGTTTGAGCACAGACCAGAAGAGAGGAAGGTGCCAACATAGCAGAGACTGAGGCCACGACGCAGGCCTTGGGATGGTGCATCCCTGGGTGAGCTGACAAGGACCCTCGAGCTGGGGGTGAGGCGGTGGATGACAGGGCAAAGGACAGGAAAATAGGACATCGGGTCAGTGATGTGAGGCCTGATCACTTCATTCTGAAGGGGGAAGTCCCTGGAAGATTTGGAGAGAGAGGAGTGACAAGGCATTTGCTTCGTAGAACTGCTCTTGTTGCTCCACTGGGAATAAATTTTAAGAGGATGAGGGTGGAAGCACGGACACTGACCAGTGGACTTCTGCGGTGACTCTGCTTTGATTCCGGGGACAGCTAGTGGTGACTCAGACCAGAGAGACCATTGTGGACGTAATGAGAAGTGGTCAGATTCTGGGTATACTTTGGGTGCCAAATTAACAGGCGTTGATGACACAACTGAAGGAGAAAAGGGGAGGGTAAACTGTCTCCAGTGAGCCAAACCCCAGCTCATGTCTGCTTGGTTTGTTTGTTTGTTTGTTTGTTTTTGTACCAGGGATCAAACTCGGGACCTTCTGCTTGCCAGTCAGGCGCTTAAGCCACTGAGCTACCTCCCCCACCCTCATGTCTGTTTTGACCACTGAAGTCTATTGGAACACCATAGGTTGCTCTGTAGATTATCCCTACTTGTTAGAAGCAGGTCATATATAGAGCAAGCACCTTGCCACTGATGGGGGCTGCTGGCCTTGCTTACAGTTTATGGGTTTGGGGCCTCCGTGGGTGGAGGAATGTAGCTGCCCATTGCTTTGAATGGGTTAAGTCTTAGATGCCTGTGGAATATGCATGAAAATTCTCTAGACAGGCTGAGGACAGAGGCTACTGACAAAGCTGGGTTCAGGGGAGGCATCCCGCCTGAAAGTGGGGAGCTGCCAGCCCAAGAAGGGACCAGTGGTAAGTAGAGTTAATTAGAACACATAGGGCTCTGGAAAAAAAAATGCAATTTATCTTTCCTCCCAAAGAAGCAGACAGTTAGGTAGAAAGCTTAATAGGGGGCTTGCATCATTATGGAGTCACCAGGTACCAAGCTCCTCTTCTACTCTTGGTGATCTTGGTGGTCCTGAGCTCACTGCTTATCCCTTGGGTGGACCGACCCCCCTGCAAAAGGGTAGGCCTGAGACAAAGGAGGGAGAGTCAACTCAACGTCATGGTGTGGGGACAGGGAGGAGAATTGGTGATGCAGAGAGATCACAGAGCACCAGTGATGCATTGAAGAGACAGCGGGACAGAGCGGTGTAAAGAGCTCAGAGGAAGGTCTTGCCCTGTGTTAGGTCGGCAGCCGGCCACTGCCCAGCAGCCGCTGGACTCCCATCTCCTCTTCCCTAGGCTCCTCGGGTGCCCTGAACGGCAGCACCATCATTGGGGACAACGCGGGACTGTTCATGGGTGGCTTGCCCCGAGGCTATGCCATCCTGAGGAAGGAGGCTGGTGAGCTCACTGCAGACTTACAAATTGCCCCAAAACTTAAAGTCCACTTCTGTTATCTTAAAGCATGACTAGCTTTCATGTGCTGTCTCATGCTGTGTCTCTATGTCTGTGTGTCAAAATTTTCTTTTAGGGCTCTTCTCTGTTGAAGGAGCCATGCAGTATTTGAGTTGACCTCGCTTCTTCCCAGTTCTTGATGTAGAAGAGAAGTTGATTGAGCATTTGCTGAAAGGAAACACACTAACTTAGGTCATAGGCATATCATTTTAGGACTTATGCATAGATTTTTTAAGGATTTAAATTCAGTGTATATAATCTAGAAATAGAAAAAAATGAGCCTAATTTACACTTTATATAGCATTAGGACCATTTTCTGCGTACTAACTGTCACCAGACCAATCCCTACATATTCATAGATGATAAAGACATGGTCTTTGTCACAATGGAGAAAATAGATAGATGAACACACAATTCGAGTACAATGTCATAACTAAGGTATGTAAATAATTTCTGCATTTTTAAGACAAGAGAACAAAAGCACACTCTAGGACTGATAAAAATTAATATGAATAAAATGATTCTTGGTCAGGAAACAACCATCCTTTAAATACATTGCTAAGAATCTTAGGATTTTGCCCAGACTTTTGTTTTCCAGTTTCTCCTAGGAAATCGCACTGTAGCTACACAAATGCTATAAAGCAGCTAGGACTCAGATAGGTGTAGTGCATCCACGTGTAGTGGTAGCAATGAAATCGCGGTGGAAAAGATCAAAAGAAACAAAATCTTTTGGTGAAGTCTGAAGAGGCACTTTTAATTTTCAAAATCAGTTAATAGTTGCCTCCTCAGAAATGTTTCTTTAAAAAGGGTTTTCATTTATTTCACTAATTTATGATGACTTAGAAATATCCCTAACACATGCACACACACACATACATACACAACTTTTATTATACTTCTTTCCCCTTCAGGATCATGGAAGCTCCTGGTTCTAGGAGGAGTGAATATTCTAGTGCCAGGTACATTTCCTGCAGAGCCACATATCCATTATGAATGAATGGACACAGCACGTGTAAATTCGCTTTCAGATCTCTGCTGGCAAACATTTGCCCTAGAATCAAACTAAAATTCAAAGATGAGATACCTCTCTACCCTACAGAGGACATAGCTGTACAAATGTTCTCTCTCTCTCTCTCTTTCATTGTCTCACTTTCTCATTCTCTTATTTTCTCCCAAGCCCCTAGTATGTAAGATTTGCTATATTCATATATGGTACCCTGCACCCACCTACTCTGGAGAATTCCAAATTTAAAATCAACATCATGCAAAACCTGAAATGAGAAATCAAGCTATCGATGCCTTTGGATCCTGGATCGGTCCATCCTGATGAAAGAACTCTACTATCAGTACAGCTTGAGTGGAAGGATCTCCTTCAATCTTACTTTTAAAAACTATCATGGTTCTTCAGCCTTGAGACTCAAAAGCAAAACTTCTGAGTCAGTGCAAAAGACCATAAAGTAGCTGGCACTCCAAAGCAAAGGGTTTTGCATCAACACCTGCATCTGGAGTGTGATGGGTCTGAGCCACATGTGGACACATAATTACTACCATTGACTATAGTGGATGGCATAGTGTTGCCATGAATTATTAGAGGCTGGCACTAAGCAGGTAGTGAGAGCTATTGCTTATTTCTTTGTTTTTAAAGGGACATAAAATTAATTCCTTGCAAAAAATCTTTCAAAATACCTCATTTACATGGCTTAACACCTATCCATTCTTGCAGAGATTGTCCAGCAAGGTTTTGTGGGCTGTCTCAAGGATGTGCACTTTATGAAGAATTATAATCCCTCTGCTGTTTGGCAACCTCTGGATTGGCAGAGCTCTGAAGAGCAAATCAATGTCTACAACAGCTGGGAGGGATGCCCTGCCTCATGGAATGAGGGAGCCCAGTTTCTAGGAGCAGGTAATTTCTACAGTAGACTTTGGTGGTTGTTTATCAGTCTGAGCTCTCCAGCACTGTACCAAAGTTCCTGTGACGATCAGCTTATAAAGAGAAAAGGCTTAGTTGGCTGAGGGTTTTGGCAGATCCAGTCCATGATCATTTGTGACTGGCTGTGGGCCTGCGTTTGGGAGGCAGTGTATTATGGTGCGAATTAATGGTGGAGCAAACTATTGACCTCATTGCCAGAAAGCAAGAAAATGCAGAGAAGCCGGATAAGCACAGTCGTGTCCAAAGCTGGGGCCTTAAGATTCCCACTAAGCCCCACCTATTGAAGGTTCCACTACTTCAAAGTTACGCCCCCTTGTGGAGGAAGCCTTTTAACACTAGAGCCTTTGGAGCCCGTTCAAGACCCAAACGATCTCAATGTGAGCATTCTCCCACTGGCGTAATCTGTCCCTCCTGTCTGTCTTTGACCTCGCGAAGCTCTTCTTACAGAAATGCATAGCTCTTCCATGAGCACATAAGTATAGTTTAATGCCTGGAAAGGTAACACTCTCATAAGTTTCCTAAGTATACAGTTGCATGTAACACTCCTGGTGGCCCACATGGCTCTTGGCCTACCTGTGCTGCGTCACAAACGTCATGTCGCACAGTTGGTTGTCTATTAAGTAGCTTAATCTGCCTTCAGAACACAGAAGTAGCTGATACTAATAACATTACGATCTGTGTAGCTTTTCATTGTTTTTCTCTTATCCATTTTATCATACTGAGTTTTTCTTAGCATGACTACTTACTGCTAATACTTACATGGAATAATCTTGCATAATACAGGCTTCTATAGGATTTAGGAAGCAAATAGTATCCCCTAATAGGCATATCAAGTGCGTCCTGCCACATCGGCACAATTGCGAGGGGGATTTCACAACCCTGACTGGCCTGGGTCTTTTGTTTGTTTGTTTTGTCTTTGTGACACATTTATACAAGGATACACAATGTCCTGGAGTCTTAGCACAGCCTTTCCTCACTGGATTGAGTTACAAGACTAATGTGTACATGTTCTTGTTCTTAAAGGGTTCCTGCAGCTCCACTCAGATGTATTTCGTGGTGGAATGGATTTTGAGATTTCTCTTAAGTTCAGAACTGACCAAGGAAATGGATTGCTTCTTTTCATTTACAATGAAGATGGACCTGATTTTCTTGCTGTATGTTAATTTGATTAAATTTAACTTCAAATGTCAGGCTCAAATTTAAAGGAATGTTGTACTACATTGTGATTTGTTTACTAATTCACTGCTTAAATTTTCCCCGAACATTTTTAAAGATTTATTTATTTACTTATGTGTTTGGTACAGGGTCTCACTACACAGCTCAGACTCCTAGTGATCCTCCTGTTTTCAGTCTCCCCAGCACTGGGATTACAGGCGTGCGCCACTATTCCCCATCTCATTTTTTAGTTTTAGAGTCCTGTAAAATGTTATGTGATCCAGGGTTAAAATAATCATTCCAGGGCTGGGGAGATAACTTGGTGATCTAAGCTCCTGCCTGGCAAACACAAGGACCCAAGTTCAATCCCCAGCACCGCATGCTGTGCTGGCCACTGAAACAGGGTATGGTGGTGCATGCCTGTAATCCCAGCACTGGGGAGGCTGAGACAGGAGAATCACCATGTATCAAAGCTGCATACTAAGACCCTGAACCAAATAAATAAATAAATAAATAAATAAATAATTTTAAAAAGACAATCATTGTGTGAAAATTGCAATTTTAACAAAATAATGTAGACATAAAGAATTAAGAAATACAGTATAATATGTGAAAAAATATAATTTCCTTTAATTTTGATATAGTTTCAAAAGAATACATCTGATATATATTTTCTATTACATATAATAAATTAGAATAATTGAATGAAAATTCATAAGCATATCACACAACACAAAAACTGAATTATTATGTATTGTTAGGTATAGATATCTCCTACTCTTATTCTCTCTCTCTCTTACCAGGGATAATATATAATCAGAATTTTGTGATTATTATTACTTTGCATTTTGCAGTTAGAACATCATATACAAATAACAAAGCATGTGTCTTTGAAATGTATGAAAGTGGTATTATGCCAGGGTGGTGGCACACACCTGTAATCCAGGCACTCCGGGAGGCTCAGGTAAGAAGACTGGAAGTTTAAGCCCAGCCTGGGCAGTTTAGCAACTCACTCTGTCTCAAAGTAAAACAGAGTGAAACAAAACTGGATTTGTGCTCCACCTTTAAGCCATCTCCATCAGTGCTCGACACCATTTCTGAGTCATTCTTATTTTCATGTTGGCATTTACTCCCCTGAGTCTATCATAGTCTTCCTCTCTCATCAACGATGGTTTGGTTGTTCCTGTTTGCTGTGGTGAATAAGAACTCTGTGAACATTTTTAGTTGTTTCCCTCAATGCAGTGGATGATATAACTGCTTTTTATTTCATCTAGCCATTCAATGAGATACTACTGTCAAAAACAATTACATTATTAAAAGGCTAGTTTTATAAAAATTCTTTAAAAAAATCTGACCTGGACCCAAGAGAAAATGTTGGACCTCTCACCCTCAGATTCGTGATATCCAGGCAAAGAGGAAAGGAAACATTTGTCTTGCTGATTTTAGATATTTAGACGGTAAGGCATTTTCAGTTCAGGGCTTTTTGCATCCCACTTTACATATTGTCAGTTTTTCTGACAAGCGAGATGGCAGCTTAATCCTTTAGGCATTTAGTAGGACTTGTGCTTGAAGTGTGGGCTTGCACTCCTGCTTAGGGTTGGCCTCCGCCCTGGCACGTGTCCCTAGGAGTAAGGGATCTTGGCTGTCTGTGTCCTCACTGCCTAACCACTGTGACACCGTGCGCACAGTTGGGTCTGCTGGATGAGCTCATGAGGTGGGGGATCTGGGGGATGGAGGGCTCACCCGCAGGTGACCTTCACTGAGCATTGCACAATCATCTCTCTGTGCAGGGCTGCGGAGGACACCACGATGTCTGCTCTCTGGCCCCTTCTCTTCAGGCCCCTTCCCTGGAGGCCCACACGTCGCATCAGCCGCATCCCTTCAGTCCCTACCTTGCTGCTTTCATTGCCTTTGAAAATATAAGACATCCCCCCACAATAAATGATGTTGACTTTACACTGGCTTACAAAGTGAATTTTGAAGGATCAATACATTTAGGCTAATACATTGTGAGGGCCGCTGCAGGCGCAGGTGCAGAGGAAGGAGGCCTGCGCACGACGGGCGGTCCTCTCCCGTGTCGCTGATCTCGGCTGCTCACCCACAACCTCACAACTCTCCCTGGGGTCCTAAGTCACCTTGGGATACATTTCTTTCCCCTGGATCTGGACAGGATATTTCCACTGCTAAAATCTTAAGCCTTAACGCATAACTTCCCTTCTCTTTCTCATTCGTTTTCACAAAGACCTTGACGCCCCTGGTGAGGAGTGCACTCTGTTGAAGTCATTAGCTGCTTACTTAGATGTCCTAGCGCCAACCGTCCTGAGCCCGTATCTTCAGCTGCTCAACTCTGTTTCCTTTTGTATAGCCACCTTGCTTCTTTAGGGCTTTGTTACTGGATAGTTGAGCTTTGCAGTGTCATAGAACAGCTGTGAGGATCATGCATGCTCTGAGGATTGCAGATCCCAAGGGCTTCATTCTGTTATATTTATTATTTCTATATTACCATTACAACATTTGCTAACATATGGGTGAGACTGAAGGAGAAAGGATCGCAGGATTCGGGGCCTTGCCCAGCAGACATTGTACTCCCCAGCCTCTAAAGCCCTTGTAACTATGCCTCACTTGAACCAAGCTTAGCATTGTTTTCTCCTCACTTGGGAGAATATATACAGTTGTCACAATTAAAAGCAAAGCTGTATGTGTGCCTTTACTGGGGATGCTCTTGCCTCTTCTGGGGTGGCTTATCTGTCAAGGCACCCCCTTTGTAAGTTCACCCTTCCTCGGCTCATTTCCATTAGGGCATCAAATGGTTGATCTGCACTTTCCTTATTTTCTAACACCGTGAAACCTCCTCCACTATATTCAGATGCGTGGGACTGGTGGCTCTTGCTCTTTCCACATTCCCCACTGAGGTCAGCCCTCAGCACTGCTGCGCAAAGGCCCTGCCCCACCAAGGTATTTCCCCCAGTGCAGAATCACTGTCTAAGGCTTCCAGACGAATGGGTCATCTTCACTGATCCTACTCGATCTGTATCATCCTCTTGCTTAGAAGAAATAAAAATTCTCCCTTCTGACTTTTCCAGACACTGATTCCTCTCGATTTTCCTCTCCTCCTTCTGGCTTCTTCAGTGAACCCACTGTCATCTTAAAGGACTACTTTTGCACAACTGATGCTTATTTAGTTTTTATCCCTGTCCCCCCAAGTAAAACCTATTTCTTCGTGCCCATCCCTTATAACACAGGACTTGCTGAAGACTTAGCCTTTTCTTTTCCCTCCTTTAATAGAAGTCAGATGATCTGACTTACTTTGCCGTGAGTTTTCTCTATTTTACTGGCTCATCACTAATTATGTATCTTTAGGTTCAATTTCTCCTCAAAAAGTATCATCCAGGTGTTGGGTACCAATGCAAGTTTCATGTATCTACAGTCAGCGTGCCTTCTTCCCATCAAAAACAACTGCCAACCTGAAAAGCTTTTTTTTTTTTTTAATTTTATTTATTTATGTGTGTGTGTGGCCAGCTCAGCCCACCAGGGGCGGGGCTGGCTGGCATGTGGTGCTGGGGGATTGAACTGTGGTCCCTGTGCTTTGCTAAGCTTGTTCTAAGTAGGTGCTTTAGACCACTGAGCCATCTCACCAGCCCCTGAAAAGCTTTTCATATTGTGGTGGAGGCAAACGGCACCCGCTGGTTATCCCCAGTGCTTATGGATGTCCTTAACGCCTGCATACATCCAACGCTCATCTGCAGGCCCTGCGGAGCTGCTTTCCAAAATACCTAACTTGAGTCTCCTCTGTCACTTTTAGTGTTATTCTTATTTTAGTGACCCTTCATTTCTCCCCACAAGACTCATGACTTCCTCATTTCGTATTTGGGCTCCTTGTGTCCTGGGAGGATGAACTTCTGGAACAGGAAGACAGAGGAAGTGTGTCGGTGCTAGTGTCAGACAAGACTGCCTTTTCCCTGTCACTCAGAATGCTCCAATATCGGGTCTCTCTGCATGTGACAAACCTTTCTAATGCCTCCCTCACCCATCTGTGCTCCCCTGTGTTGCTTTTCTTTAACGCTAATGTCCCCGTGCCACCAGGGGGACTAATCCTCCCCATGATATTTGACTGCTAATAACCTTACTTTAATTTTTCCCAGTTCCAAAGGGACAAAAGGCATCTGTTGGCTGCACCATGGTGCCCTGTCCTGGTCTTGGTCATATTTTGCCCTCACACCCATGTTCACCTTTCCAGTTAAAGTGCCTGGTGGCAGTTACAGCAGCAGGTGTATGGACATAGTTTTCAACTCATTTGTGGAAAGAAAAACCATTAAATGATGTCAGTTTACCTGGTTTACTTGCTAAAGATGATATTTACATTGAAAACCTAATTTTGTCTGGTATGACTTTGTTGCGACAAAATGGATCTCAAACTTTCAACTCTCCTAGAGTTGCTGATTTGATTTCTAATTAAATAAAAGCATTTTAGGTAAAATAATTATCATGTAACATTTTGAAAATACATGAATGTGTTTCCTTTTCTATGAATATTTGAATAAAATTTGTTCATATTATAAAATGGCATATTAATCTAAAAGAATGCACATAGAAGCAATTATGTTAGAGATTTAGAACAAAGCTGAAATATTGAATCAAAATATATCTTACAAATTTCAAATTGAGTTCATAAACCAGTTAAAATAAGCTTCATCAAGCTTGACATTTCATTTTCTTGTTGTCTTGTCGTATTTTCCCCAAATTAAATTGATACATGAAGTAGTACTTTCTCATTTTCAAAAAAACTCAGAAATAGAGTCATAGTTCAAGCTGTTCTGCTCCCTTCAGGCGTTCAGTCACTTACACTAGGATTTAATCTTTTAACTATTTTTTTTAAAGTGTAGGATTATCTAATACCACATCATGTAGCGTAGTCATTCCCGGGTGTGAATTTGTTTGACTCAATAGGACATTCTTCTGCAGATTGTAAGCTTGCAACGCATTTCATTACGTGTTCCTCCCGTTCCGCGGAGGATAAAGGGGAGCACTTTTATAGATGCTTTCAGGGAAATTTCTTGCTTTTCTTCAAGAAATTGACCTTCTGCTCTCTGCCACAGTGCAATCCTGCAGCCGTTTTATACACTGATTTCTTTTTTAATGTGAAATACAGGTAGAGCTGAAGAGTGGAGTATTGAGCTTCCGGTCAAATGCCAGCCTTACCTTTTCGCAAGTGGATCTAAGGCTGGGTCTGTCCTACTGTGATGGGAAGTGGAACGAAGTCATTATTAAAAAGGAAGGCCCCCTCCTCGCGGCAGGCGTGAACGCGCGGACTGAGCACCGCTGGGCGCCCGGAGCGCAGCCCCTGCGGGTGAACTCACCCGTTTACCTGGGCGGCGTCCCGCAGGAGCTGCGGGGCACTTTCGGGAGCTTGAGTCTGGAACGAGGTAAGGGCCCTGCGGGGGACGCAGAGGTCAGTGGAACCCTTCCCCTATGGGCTTGGATGGCTCTCAGTTCCAAGATGTGAGAGTAAACTCCGGCTGGTGACAGTGTCCAACAACACCCTCTCGCTTTCACTGGAGAATTTAAGGCCTAAAAACAATCACTGAATATGTCTTCAACTAATTTTCTATGTTACCTTCAAGAGTATGTTGTCATTTCAGCTATAATCAGCATGTTTGCTCCGGCACATCTGCAACAAATATATTTATATATAATAAAATATAACTATGTATAATTGTGTAATATAATGTATATTTACACAGTATACACACATACTGTATATTTACCATACACAGTATGTGGTTTATAGTTGAAGTATGCATTACAAATAATATGTAAATAAATATATAAGAAATATGCAGAATCTTTTGTGTATATAATTGTGTATTGCATGAGTAGAGGTAAATATATTCCCTCCTATATTTTTCTGAAAATGTATATGGCTCTGGATCTTGCTGACATTGGTCAACAATGCTGATGCGCGCCACTGGAGTAAATGGCAAACACACATACTACTTTTTGGGTTGTTCTGATGTGAGTGCTGGTTGTCTCCGTGCACTTCCCAATACAACTTTCATGCTACAAAAGTGCGTGAATGGGCAGCTTGGACTGAATTCCCATCACTGGTGGTGAGCCATGTGTATGATGCAGATTATTAATAACCATCAGGGACCGGAGATGTGCTCTGCCCATGTTTTTTTTTTTTCTTAATTTTTAAAGAGAATATAAAATGGTTAAAAGAAGTTAGAAACGGTACAGGATTTAACTTAGTAAAATGATAGGAATGAAGCACGCACTATACTTAGAGAAGTTTGGGAGTAAACTAGAGAAGGTACATACAGTCTGTAAAAAGGCTGAAGACAGCCAAGCGCCCCGGGCACGTGCTCTTCCTGAGCAGCATGAGTTGGCCTGGCGATTCATATCCCTGCTCGAGAGATGACAGAACTTGAAAATGGGAGGGGACCTCTCGCGAGGTCACTGGACTGGCTGGCAAGCAGATGCCAGAGCAAGTGTGTCTCAGGCCACCTAGCGGTGCTGGCCCGGGTTCCCGTGGGTGCCGAGTGCCCCTGCACACATGTGGGGGCAGCTTCTCTCTAGCAGAGACAGCCCGGGAGCTCCCAGCACGTGACCCAGAACATTCCATGTACAAAATGCTCTCTACGGATTTTAAAATCTAGGTACCATGAATGGTTAAAATTTCTAGGAAGCAGTCTTTGCCTATTTGGTAAGTACATAAAGATTTAAATGCCTCTGAGTGGAAAATATATGACAAGCTCTAAGGAGCCTTTTAGAAGGGTAGTAGTAAGGAGTTAATGAATAACGGAGGTGTAGGACAGTAATGACATTCTCAAGGCATTTAAGATGTAACAGCAGCTAAAAATATTACACGCGGATGAGAGCTTCTGCGGGGTTTCAGGTTTTGAGGTTAGAAAGGACTTGAAGATTCTTTGTGTGAGTGAAATTATTTGATCCTGTTTATAACTAAGGAAAAAAAAAAAACAAGCCTACCTCCACAGCTGCCTGCTCCTGAATTACATCTCAGTCCATAACTATTGATAGTCTCAGAGACATGGCTAAAATGAAATTTAAGATGATAAAGATAGAAATTTAAAACATCAACAGTGACCTACGGGGAGTAATTTTACCCATACCAGAACTAAGTCTTTGATACCGAAGGATATTTTATTTATGGGTAATACTAAATTTTTATCATTGCAGCGTCATTCATATTAGTAGTCCTCAAACTGCTGATAAAATATGGATGTATAGCCGCTAAAACACGGTAAAAATTCAAAGTTAGCTTTTATTATTACTAGCCAAGTGCAAGGGTATCAGATAGAAGGACGACTAAAAATGCAGATTTTTGTGTCCCTGATCCCTTGAGATTCTGATTTTATGCTTCCAGAGATGGTGGTTCGTATGAGGGACTGGTGTCCCTGTATCGTTTCTAACTTCTTTTAACCATTTTATACAGTGAGCAAGGAGAACACTCCAGGTTTGGCATGCAGGTAGTCAATTGCAATTAAAATGAATTGCGCTCACTTAACGTTCTGTCATTCCAGCATCAATCGCCTTTAAAATCTTGCTTCTTTCTTTTCTGTCCTTCTGAATTGCATTTTTGCCGCAGGCTCCATTTGTCGTCCTATTAGTGCTGTTCTGCTTATCCATGACTGTTGTCATCTTCCTTTGGGTCAAATGTGAAACTCATTTTCTCTTCAGTTTTCTTTTGGCCTCTTCATCTTGGAAGAGGAAGCATAACTTGATAGAGACGGCACCCTTCCTTGGCTCATGGCGGTGGTCTTCTCAGGAGTACCACAGAGGACAGTCACATCAACATCTGATGTGACATACGGTGTCACCTGTCCTCCATGCGGCCCCCAAAGGACAGGGTAGGACATGCTAGTGCAGGGCCATGTTCCTAGAAAAAGAACTACTGCTGGTCTCCCTGGTCGGACTGGAGCTCTGGGTCACCTGTCCGTTATTTAGAGCAAGAGAAGGGGTTGCCACCTGTCCTGTGACAAACACATGCTCCCTGTCTTTCCCCTCTTCTTGTCCTCATGTTTCATTCAAATTGTGGAGTCAGGTGGGAAGCTCTTTGGAGGTGCAGAGTTGCCTCTCCGATCGCCCCGGCAGACACACAGTGCAGACCCTGCAGCCACCTTCAGCAGCCTGGCCTCGCAGGCCCGAGGGCTGAGGGCTATTGCCTTGGGAGGCCGGTTACTTCCAATGCTCATTTTATAACTCTCTGAACGCCTTATCTCTATAAAGACTATAGTCTCTTTTTAAAGCTTTTTTTAATTAGCACATGTGTGCCACACATAGTGTTGACATTCCTTGTGTGGAGTTGATACGTGTGCACAAAGTCTTCCTTTCTTTTCTCATCCTCCTCTGTCTCCCCCTCCCCCACCCCTTGGGCCCTTCTCCCTACTTTCTATCACCTGTCCTTGGTTTGCTCTCTATTTATATTAGGGATGTTGCAATATTTAAGCTGTGTGTCTGACTCATTGCACCCACATTAGGGCCTCAAGGTGCCTTCATTTTCCCACAGATTATCCTACAGAGCTCAAGTGCAGCTTCCTTTCTGGCAGAACTGTGCTCCTCATGTGAGAACACCACATTTTCTTTAGCCATGCGTCTGTGGCTGGACACATAGGCTGCTGCCTAGACTCAGCTGTTGTGTGGCACTGCCAGCAGGGGGCGTGTGCATGGACTATTGTGACATCACATCTTTTATCTCTTCATAAGGTGCCTAGAAGGGGACTATCTGACTGGAACAGCACCTCTCATTTGAGTCTTTTGAGGAACCTCCACAAGATTTCTATGGTGGCCGTAGTGGTTTACATTCTCACCAACAGTGTGAAGGGCCCCTTTCTGCCAGCAGCCTCTCCAGCATTTTTTGCTTTCACCAAATTTAAAAATTCCATTTTCTAAGGGCCAGCAAGATAGCTCAGTGACTAAAGTGCCTGCTTCAGCAAGCTCAGGCGAGCGCAGGCATGCGGCTTGATCCCTGCGCCACAGGCAGCACCAGCCCCACCCCAGGACTGTAATGCCAGCCCTGGGGAGGCTGAAAGCAGGAGGATCACCATGAGTCCCGGGTGCACAGTGAGACCCTGCAACAACCAAATACATTTTAAAAAATAAAAAATAAATAAATAGAAATTCCACCTTCTAAGTTAAGTCTGTTACTACTACCTTACTGGCATGGGGCTGCCGTCACGATGTGCGCGGTGTCATGGGAAGCTGATGCATCGTGACCCTCCTCTCATCGCCTTGGGCTCCCGCCTTTTGACATTCTATTTTTGTTAAATTTAATTTTTTTTTTTTTACTTGTAGTGAAATGCACCAAACAGGAAGCTCGCTTTGTAACTATTCTCGGGCACACAGCTCAGAGACACAAAGCGCACACACACACACACACACACACACACACACACACACACATTGCTGTGCCGCTGTCCCCGCTGTCCATCTTGAGGTGTGTTTTCATCTCGCCAAACCGAAACTGCACAATAACATGACATTCTGAAAATGACTGTGGCGTGTTTGCCAACGCTGCCTTTCTCTGGCCAACTGGTCTCATTTGCTTTGCAAGGTGCAGAGAGGTTGGATGACCCTTTGAGTGTCGTCAGGCGATTACTGCTGGTAAAAATCTGGGATTCTTCGCTATTGGATTCTCCAGCAGGTGCTTTTATACTGAGCTCCACTGCTCTCAGTTCAATTCAGCTGAACTGTTTAGTGTGTACTGTATGTTTAAGGTAGACTCACAGTGTTGGTCAGCCGGGCCTAAAGAAATGTGAATGAGAGCAGAGGTCTTTCGAAAGGGAGTAGGCGCAGCTTAGCATGTGAGAGGACATCGTAGAAATGCTGAGGAGAACAATATGTCCCTCTAGTGTTGGAAAGAGCCAAGCTTATGTTTGCGGCCTTTCGACCTTTATGCTGCTCTGTGCAGCGAGGGCATGCGTGCTGCCACAGTCTGCATTTCGGGCCACTTGGTCCCGGTTCTGTGAGGGTTTCTAGGTAGAGTGCTGCTGGGCGGACCTCACTGAGCTGGTCTCTGCTTGCACAATCCCACATGTGGTTCAGAGCAGTGCCCTTCCCTGGCTGACCAAAGGCCTTTTCGTTGCTGCTGTTGACTCTCTAACAACAATAAGCTGTGAAAACTCCCAACCCATTCGACCCACATTCTGTGTTAAACTTCACAGACGGCTACCGCACAGTGATTTTTTGAAGGTCACCTCAGTACAACGCATGCCTGGGGAACCTCATGCCAGTAAGACTCCCAGAGCTGACTGCTAGCCTTTTATGCATAAAGCCCGGGTGTACTCGGGCCGTACATGCCACGTGCATATTCACGTCTCGCACAGTTAAGAACTGGAACTCCATGAACTCCATGGGACCCAGCGCTAGCTCATCTCCCATGGATTTAACTGGGCCTACATTCCAGACCTCAGAAATGGTCATCATGCAACTGAGGCAAAGTGGAAGGATTCTGATACAGTTTGAAACAACATTCTCTCTCCTGCCACTCTGCATAGAATCTTCTAAGTATATTTTCCCCCTTGAGCCATTGCATAATCGTACTAATTCACACATTATTTTTTGGTATTTAATGAAGTCTGACTTATACGAAGACTCAATTTTCTCGAATTGAGGGCCTCATGAATCTGGCCTTACTAAAAGGTGCAATTGCCAGAATTTTATTTTGCAACAAGAGATAGAATAAGAACATTTGGGCCTAACGAGGTGAAATATATGGTTTTTTTTTTCAAAAGTTGGATGATAATTAACCACATGTAGTCTTTTAAAATAACGTACATACCTCTGTGTCTCTGTGGCTGTTAACTTAGGTAAAAGCAGGAGGGTGTGTTAGAGATTTCCCAAATGAGACGTGGAGGTTTAACCGTTGTCCCCAGCCCGGCAGCCAGGGCGGGCAATTAGAGCGCCGGCCTTCGGTGCACTAACGCCTCCCTCTCTGCTAGGTTTCGGAGGCTGCATGAAGGATGTTGCATTCACACGCGGGGCTGTCGTTAACTTGGCATCTGTGTCCAGTTTCGCTGTCAGAGTCAATCTGGATGGCTGCCTATCACCTGCCAGCGCTGCTAACTGCAGGGGAAATGACTCCATCGTGGTGTTCCGGGGACGCCAGCACAGTGCCCGTGAGAGCGGGCTGCAGCCCTTCACAGGTGACCGGGGTCCCTGCCCTGTCCATGCCCGCTCCTTCCTGGCCAGACCACTGTGAACCCACATGAGGAATGTTTTAATCTTTCTGCTTCTTATCTCCATTGAAGAATACCTGTATCGAGTGAGAGCCTCGCATGAAGCGGGTTCGGTGTGCAGTGACTGGAGTCGGGGTCGTACGCTGGCAGAAGGTAAATACTGTTTCTCTGAATCGCCCCTGTGCACACCCACACCCAGGTCTGTGTGCATCAATTTAGGGCAGTCACCCTGCAGTAGGAGTTCTTTCTCAAGTGTCTCCAAGATGTCATACACACTGCCTCCAGTACTATGTCCAAGAACAGGAAACCTTGAGGACTGGGAAGATGCAAAGAAGCTGAATTCCAAGGCCAGGATTACCTTTAGCTGGGCAGCAGCCACCTGACTGTCTTGTAAACAGCACATTAGGGACACGGATGTTGTCAGAAGTGGATGCGTTGCTACTACATCGCTACAGATGTTGGCCATGGTGTTGACGATTAGGGCCTTCAAATGACTCACCTAGGAGGGAAGTTGCTGACCAGGTTAATTTTTTTTTTTAATTTTTTAATTTGAAGCATAACACTGAGTATTTTTCAGAAAAGCAAACACATCTGCAAATAGTTACGCCTGTGAGACTAGGTAAAAGTTTATTGAGTAAGTCACAACTGGTCTAACGTGGTTTTTCTGCAGGATGCGCTAGTATACTCAGCAGCAGCAGCAGTGAGTGATTATCCCAGGAATAGCACGCGGCATCTTCTCCCCGGCCCTCCTGACTTAGACGATCATCTACTTACCGACAAGACCAGGAGCTGAATGATATCTTAAAAGCCTGTTCAACTTCAGAACCACGAGAAAGCTCTCGCGCGAGCTACTCTGTATTCCCCACGTGTTTTCTGCCCCTATTTCTTGTGCCTGTACTTTCTTAACAAAATGCTACAATGCCTCCTTCATGCCTGCCAGTGATTTAAATGCCAGCAATTTAAAACACTCAGATATGTCAGGTGTTTAGAAAGTACACTCTTACATAGCTTTAGTACCCACTGAGAAAGTATGCAAACAGAGCGCTAAATTTATCGCCACGATCTGACCACACGGTCTCATGCCATAAATTCATATTTATAGTCTGACCACAACATCGAGCAGCTACATGCTCCCAAGGGGTGGAGAATAATTGCACTATTTAATTATTTTTGAGTCAGTTTTGCTCTGTCCCTTATGAGAAGACCATCTGTTAGACAGTACAGTACTTTGCCCGGTACCACATTTCAAAACGAATAAAATCAGCATCTCTCCCATTGTCCCCCTACTCGTAGCGCGGTCGTGGAGGCTGTGTTTGCTGGAAGTACACAGGGAGTTTCTCCCCTTGGCCTTTGCCTGCATGCTTTCTGTTCCATTTACTTCCCCGAAAGCTGTCCTATTTTTGTGGTCTGAACAGGAAGGTCGGAGGAGGAAGATATTTGATGTGGGAAGACCGGAGTGATTCCCCCAATGACAGGGCCTGGGAGCCCCAGAGCAGCCTGCGCAGCCTCATCCGTCGTCCTGCCACTGAGCTCCTTGGGCTCTTTCTTGTGTCTCCCATGCAGTCAGCTGTGGTGGAGTTGTTACTGATCAGGACCATAGAAATATCTAATAAATAGTTAAAGGTGATAGATTTTTGAAATTAGGAGGCTCAGCTCGCAAGTGAGGTTCTATGGCTCCCTGACACTCTCTCTTGTTGAATTATTGTTTTCAGATACTCCAAGGAGAGTATCTCTGAAAACAATTCTGGAAATTCTCGAGGGTGCGGGTTTCCCTCTCTAACCTTCCCCCCCCCATGCAATTAAAAATGTATCTAATCTACCGAGTCTGGTAGAAGTTTGCTTCTTTAAAATAATTTGAAATACAATTGAATTGGAAGAGGAGTCTGACGTTCATGTACAATACAATTGCATGTAGGAATTTCTTTTGGCTATTATGAAAGTCATCAAAGTGTCAAACACTGTGTCTAATAACAGTCTAATTATCTTGCTTCCAAAGGATGCATCGTTACATGCCATGCACTTGTTCTTTGCCTACCACTCCTCCTGCCTTATGAGTGATGTTTAAACATGTCGGATACATTAAATGTTTTTGGAAAACCTGGACTCCACTTGGGAGAATGTTATGTCAATGGAGTTTTGATGGTTTTGAAATATCGCTTAAACTGAATGGCTCAAGATGTGCAGTCATATTAAATCAATGCTGAAAAGTTACAACTCTAATAAATTGTATTTATGCTAATGGTTGAGCCTGATTTACTGCAGCCATTAAAAGTGAAGAATGGGGCAGTCGTCTTTTCAGAACTGCCATTTTCTCTGTTTTCTCTTTTCTTCCTTCATAGCTCCGCTGAGTGTGCCAGCTCCCTCCAGAGTCCGCAGCGTCAACGGGTCCAGTGTCGAGGTGACCTGGGCTGAGCCCGCTGGGGTTAGAGGTGTCATCGAGAAGTACGTGCTGAGAGCCTACAGTGGCGATGACCCCTCTGTACCCCGAACGCCCTCTGCCAGCATCGAGTGTGTGGATACCGGCACCTTCACAGGTAAAGGGATTTCCTGAAGGAGTGCTCATACAGGCTTCTATTTCATTTGGATTTTAAATAAAAATGTGTTTCTGGCAATACATTAAATAAGCATATATTTTTGCCTTGTTAAAAACAGCCATCACCCTCTCGCATGTGGAAGCTGTTACCCTCTTCTCTAGGGTGAAAAGGATAGCTCTGGCATGTCCATGAGCTTCCTGGAGAATTTCTTTCCAAGGTTGATTACTGACATTTTCTCCTTCCCCTGAAGCCTGGGGCAGAAGTGGCCCTAAGTCCTTGTCACTCTGTGGACCATTCTGAGGATCTCACACATCTACAGGACCAGCTTACCGACTTTACCGTGCAAGACTTCACTCTTTGGGATTAGCCCAAGTTCACACCACCATTACTGATTGTAAAATCGCTGATTAGTTCTAATTATCGCAAGGTGGAGGAATCTGAGAGCCCCGGCGTTCTGACCGGCGAACCAGCGAATCGATTTCTCCCAGCACAGCCTGCCGGGAAGCACACCTGCAGGGGGTACCCCCACACCCATGTCTGCCTCATGCAAACCCATACGTGTGGAGTGAAACAATATTTTTCAGCTTTATTAAATATTAAATGTATTTCAGTGGAGAGCCAAATTTAAACCTCTGACCAAAACAAAAAAAGAAAATGGATCAAATTTGATAGGAAAAAAATAAAAAAAACTTCCTCCATGAAAAAATTTATAAATTTAAATATTACATATATGGGTGCTAGGATAGCCTTAGATAGCTTTTGTCCTCTCAAAAATCTTTATTGTTCAACCACATCAAGTCTTTGCTTTTTCCTTTAGATTTTCTAGAATCGATAGCCTAAATACTTGTATAGAACCAATTTTCTAAAAATACAAAAGAAACCCACATCCTCCACTTCAGCATCTGCCCTATAATGCCTCGTGCACTCCCAGGTTTGCCCTTTCCTGCGATGCACAGGGCTGCCAAGCAGTCTAGAAAACAGCAAGCAGCATGCCATGTTCCCAAGCCCCCCACGCTGAGAGAGACCAGCAAGGCCCTGTTTCTATAATAAGCGCCATCTGCATTGCTCCTGTTCAGTATCGCTTATCTTTGCAGCCTACCCCAGTGTTAGCCTCCTTTGGTCACCCCACTTACCTGATGCTTTTATAATTTGTATCAAATTGGACCCCAGAGGTGAAAATAGGATCTGTTACTTAGGACCTTTGTTACTTTTACTTTATTACAAAATACCTGTTCTAATTGCATAGTTCTACCTGGTAAGCTTTTGTGAGGGGTTAAATAGGTCAGTGTGCTGATACTTGTAGCCATTTCCAGCACAGAAGAGTATTTGGGGCCACTTTCATTTTATCATTAAAAAAAAAAAAAACTTTTCTTGCTTTTTCTCCTACCTCATTTTGCAGAACATCCTGAGTCCTAATCAAACATAAAGCTCTCACACACCCTCTGGACTCCACCCTTCCTGATGTCACTGGTAACTATCTTTCATATATGAAAACCTCTCGCTACTGCCTTACGGTGACCGCAGGGCCATCTAAGCAGCTTTACCCCAGGACACGTTATCAGGGCAGCTTCAGTGACCTTCTTCTGAAGCACAAGCCTGGGTGGGTGGTCAGCAGCCCCCCAGTACAGTCCTCTGCTGAGAGTCCCTGTTCTCGCAGATTCATCCTGGGATCGTTCAGATTCTGTCTGTCGTCTCTGGCAGACTCTGTTCCTCTGAATCCCTCCACTAGTCCCTCTTGCCTCTTCCTGTACTTCCTTTAGCCGGAGGTGTCCAGGCATAACTTGCCACTTTGCCACTGTCTGGTTTCTACTTATCTCTGTGGCCGAGGGCACGTGCGCAGAACAGCGCTGTAGGACCCTCGCTTCACCCTGCAGCACCACTCTGACAGCAGATTCAAACTGTTTGTGGCAATTCCTGTAAATGGAAGCCTTACAGTGTGGCTTTGTCCACCTTATGCACTGCGCCTGGCTCCACGCAACTTAAGCTCTTCCTCCAAGTCCCAGTCAGCGTGAAAATGTGATGTTACGGAGATTCAGGACAGCAAGGCAGCCGGGCCAGCACGGCAAAGACACCCGTGAAAGAGGACGTAGAGCTCCTTCAGAAAGTGGCGAGAAAGATGACAGAAATGTGTTGGCAACAACTTAAAAAATTAACGAATAGATTCTTTTGAACACATTTTACACTTGCCTGACAGGGCAGCCCGGAAAAAGAGTGTGACTCTGCGCACGTGTGCAGCACGTGGAGCAGGAAGGAGCACCACGGACGCCTGCAACTTGCTTAGCTCGGCGCTGAACTTACGGGGATTTTTTTCAACAGAAGGGTAGTAGCGCTCTTTTGGCAGAATTATTTGCAAAATATGTGAAAGTTTGCACAAAACATACTCTCATGATCAAATAGAAAACGGAATTCTGTAGTTCATTCTTCCTGGTCAACACCAAATTTTATAGACAATTTTTTGCTGAATGAATCACATTGTTTCACTGATTCAAAATGTCTCTCTTCATATAAAGAATATACAAGCAATCATCTGAATTTTATCTTTGATTTGCATTTTATGCACATATTTTAAAAATATTTCATAACATTTTAGGAGGTTTTTGCGGTTAATTTCTATGAGTGATTGGGGAAAAAAAATCCATAGTCTTCATTCAGGTAGACCACTATTGACATGAGATATTTTGCATTGATAGTGTATATTGCATTTTCTGAGATTAATTCTAAATTTAAGGTAAGACTGAATCAGAAGCTGGGTGCAGAGAAGCATTTTAAATTAAATCAGCCTCTTCTTGGATTCAGGAAGCTGTCCTCCTGGAGGAGAAAGCCCTCCAGCCTGACAGGAGCACAGTGTATCATAGGGCATGCAAAGCAGTTGAGCACTATAGAGAGAGAAGAATATTAGAGAATCACTCAGCAGTTAGTATGTATTTTATTAATTTTTATGTATCAAACCCAATGAAAATTATCAGCTATTGATATGATTATACCCATTGCTCCTGAAGATACTAAAGTTTTGGTTTTCACTTTGTTTGTTCTTATTGTTTTATATTCATCATTTATGTTTTAAGCTTCAACATCATGCTTTTTTTTCTTTCTTTCTTTTTTTTTTTTTGGTACTTTTTAGGGAAGGGTCTACAGGGTGCTCAGGGTCTCACTACTAGATTAGACTCATAGTGATCCACCTGTTTACAGCCTCCCAAGAGCTGGGATTACAGGCTCGTGCCACCATGCCCAGTCTCATGCTGTTTTAGATATCTCTATTTTCACCGAGTGCACATTCATTCAAAGTTATTTGTATTTTAGCAGGGGAGTTTCAGTCATTCATATTTATTTTTATGATCCATGCAATTGCTTTTATTTCTGCTGTAGTGGCCTAGCTTTAAAGTTTTGTCATCAGTTTTAAATGATTATCAAATTTTCTATTGCTGCTAGTACAGACTAGAAATTCTGTGATTTTTTCCCCCACTAAAGATCTGTGCTGCTGGCACCTGTAATGCACGGGCCAGTATGGACTCATGCAGCAAGGCGTCTTCACAACTGAGCCCACTCTGCCCCAGCCGGGAGGACTCCTCGGTGCGCGGAGTACGGATAATGAGGGGATGTGTGAATTGAGACCCTTCCAACCCAGCTTGGGGAGCAGCCAAAGTCAAGGAATTCCACAGTAAAGAAAGCAAACCCTAGAAAGTAGGGGAAAGAAGTGATAAAATAGATGCCAGCAAGCTGATTGGTGACATGCTAGTCACCCTTCTGCTGCTAGGCCAAGTGCCTGAGAGAGACCAACTTACAGGAGGATTTGTTTGGGCTCACGGCTTCAGAGGGCTTGGTCCATGACTGAGAGACTACAGCCATGGGCCCAGTCACTTTAAGGATTATGCTGAGTTGGATATCATGGTGGAAGCTAGAGCTAGAATAAGGCTTCTTCCTGAAACGCAAGTGCAGCGACCCTTATGCTTTAGGAGTGAGGGACGGGAGACCAGAATCCCAGCATTCCCTCCAGCGACAGGGTCCAGTGACCCACTTTCTCTAGAAGACCCTGCTTGTTCAGTTTCCACTACCTTGCAACAGCACTTAAAGCTGAGACCAAGCCTTCAGTGTGTAAGTCTGAGGAACAGTTCAGATTCAAACTGCGACAGGAGGCAATGCTAAGGCTGCCTAGATCGGTTGACGACAGCCCGGCTTTGCCAGTGGCTGGGAAAACAAGGTAGCGAAGAGAAAAAAAATAGCTAAAGTGGATAAAAGCAAGTTTTGTTCTTTATCTTGAAAGTAATTCCCCTCTGTCACTTCTGAGGTTACTTTTGTTTAGATCTTAATATTTTAATTAATTTGCTTGGTAGAGTCATATTTATTTGACTAAAGTACCACTGCTGCTGGGTGTACAGGCAATTTAGATTTATTGTCTGATATACTGTTCTTTACCAATTAAGTTAAAAAATGTTACCTGAAAATGTATTGGTTTCTTTTCATTAATTTTTCTGTTATTAATGAGCTCTTTTATTCCTCAAATCTGGGTCTTTCCTCAACTTAGAAAATCTTCTCTTGTGCATATGTAACCATTAGTTCTGGTGATAAACTGCAGTTTTGCACTTTATATATATTTTTTCAGATTGTCACCCTGATTTTCTTACCTTATATGTCCCCAGAACCTATCGTATTTTTATGTGATTAACATATTTACAAGCATCTCTAGTTTTATTTTTAGAACTCACCTTATAGAGTTGGATCATTCTAGATTCAAAATCCAAATCTACCACTTATTTGCTGCTTGACCTCTGGCAAGGTCAGAACCAGAGTCTCCTTGTGTATCAACCAGGAATGAAAATCTTCCTTTTACTTTGAAAATTGTGAAGATAAAATTAACTTACATAAAATATTTTGGTCAGGGACAGGTCTAGTAAATGCCTGGTGAATCCAGCATTACACTTTCACTTCCTGATTTTGGCATCATTGTTTCTGCCAGTTGAATCTCAGCGAATTCTGATTTTTCTGTCTCAGCTTTCATGGGA